TTTATGTATTATTTAGTTGTTATTTTTATTTTTTTATTTGTCAATTGCTTACAAGATAATAGGTATAAGTAAAAACATAGTTATGAATACATGGATACATATAAGAAAAATAAAAAAATATATAAAAGAAACAATAGGACAGGGACGGTAGGCACGTTGGTGGGCTTATGCACACCCCCTTTAACTGTGTCTGCTCCAAAGTGGTGCCCCCTTTTGGGACAGCACCATGTGGCCTCGATTGTATAAGGAGGCTGAAGGATGAAGTGGCTGGCTCTCCTTCTAGAACACAATCTTCAAAGTCCCTTGACCACCTTATACAACTTTGGATTCTCATCTTGTACACAACAGATCAGAATACTTTTAGTTAAATGCTTTACTGTTGAAATAAGTTATTTTCTTCATTAAGATAAAAATATTACCTGAAATATGCAAGATATTATATTCAATAAACACCCATACAGATATCCTCAACTAAATTCCAACTTAAAGTCATAACTTCAATTAAAACTTATTAATCATACTTTGGTTGATTGTATTTTCTTTAAAAAAAAATTCCATGTAACTCATAACCTTGAGACAAGAAAGCAATTGGAAGGGTTTTCTTTTCTTTAGCTTCTAAAGGAAGTGCCAAGTTTCTTAATTTGCTATAAACTTCCTCATTCCAACACCCCTCCCTCCCAAATCTACTGCAGTACACACTGTACTTATCGGTGTACAAAGAAGAATGAGCAAGTCATGTCTTTGAAAAAAACAGGGACACGTTCTGTGTCTCTATCTGTGTGCATGACATGTGCTTTCATGATTTAATTTTTAATACTGTACACATAAAAACTACTGAAATTTTTTGATCAGCTAGCCATTGACTTCAAGAGGGTCTGACTCTCAGTGGTGTGACAGCAAATGACTTTTTCTTCTTACAGGACTAAACATAACAGAATAGTGATGGTGAGAAAAATAACCTGATTTTGTTACCTAGGGAGTCATTATTAATATTTCTGGTTCAAATTGCCTGATAAACAGACTGATTTACAACAATTCAGTACATAATACTGTATTTGGGTTAGCCAAATGCATGGCTTATTATGGGATGAAGCAGAATACAGCATTTCCAGGATTTCTTTGATTTCTGCACTGTCTTCTATCATTTTACACTTGCTTCTGCTGATGGATTTCAGATTCTAATAAACAAGAGATAAGGTTGAACTCTGCACATTCTTTAAGTCAGCAGTTGTTAAAAGTCACCTTAGTGAATCATGAGAGATTAAATTAAATTAATTTGCAAGGAGAAAGGCAAGGGAAGGCTCAGTCTGGTGTTTTGCAGTGGGTTGATTGAGGGCTTAAAATGAAGAGGAAAATGACAAAACGTTTCTTGAGTTTGCTGCTGTTGTTTTTCTGCTTCCCTTTCAACGGGGAGCAGAAAAACCACCAAACACTCCCATTTGGGGAATGTGAGATGAGAACCCTTCATAAGTGAAATGGAAATACTTATCACAAAATGAAACCATACACAGTATCAACTACACTGTAGCTGAGCAGTTATAAATAATCTCCTATTTCTCACATTGCTGATATTGTGAGAACACAGACTATCAGAGCTAATTTTGTTACCACAAAATCCTCAAATGGATCTTTTCTTGGCAACAGAAAGCACTCAGAAGTCTGGATCAATAACACATTCTCACTATAGTTACTGGGCTATTTCTTATCCTTATGCAACAGTAATTCAACATACACTCAGTATGCAAAAGATAAAGAGAACATCAAGGGGATTTGGAATCCTTTATGGGGGATTTTTAAAAATATGCAAATAACTGTATTTTTCCTAAGATTGAGGAGCTAAAGGTGCTCTGTTGCATGCAATAATTAGAATTTTAGTTTGATCGTATGCTTATATGCATAACACATGATGTGTCATGCAAAGTAATCTTACAATATTACTTTGCATATATTTTTGAAATTCAGTGAATTACCTTAGTGATGGCTAACCTTTTCAGCACTGAGTGCCCAAAGCGTGTGTGTGCATCCCCAAAATGCAATATGCGTGCATCCCCACGCATGTGTGTACACTGTGCATGCATGTGCACCGTGCATGGGCCATGCCCCATGCAAGCGTACGCCCTGCCCCTGCGCATGAGTGCACATTCCCGCATGCATGAGTGTGCCCCCCATGCATGCACCCTACCCCGTATATGCACCCCACCCCCGCACATGTGAGGCAAAGACCCAAAGGCCAGCTGGCTGATTGGAGGTGGCGCGAATGCACGGCAAAGCTGAGCTGAGGCAACGGCTCGTGTTCCCACAGAGAAGGCTCTGCGTGCCACCTCTGGCACGTGTGCCATAGGTTCGTTATTATGGACCTAAGGCAATAAAATAGATTATGATGCATGTCACTCAGTTTCTTATCAGGCTGATATCAGCACTTTTTTGCTTTTCAAAATATTTTTGTCTTCATTCTCTACTTATCCTTCTTCTTTCATCTCCGTAGTCTTTTGTCCCCTATTTACATGTTTTTTTCCAGTCCTCAAAATGCCGGAGGCTTGATTCTCTGAAATGCTGAAATCCTCTTCATCATAACTCAGTATTTATAGAACTATGAACTGCAATACTGTGGCTCACAAGACAAACAAGAGATTAATAGAGAGCACTTTAAAAGTGGATAGCTAACAAGTGATTGCAACGCATCCAAATGTATTTGGCTGTTTTGTCTATGCCTTTTTAATTAAGAAAAATATAAACATCCACTTGAACAAGTGTAGAGCAGACACACTGGTCTATGTATATAGCAGTTGTGGGATTCAATTTTTTTTACTACCGGTTCTGTGGGCGTGGCTTGGTGGGCATGGCAGGGGAAGGTTACTGCAAAATCCCCATTCCCTCCCCCCACTAACCTGCTTTCCAGCTCTGTTCTCCTGTGCAGGGCAACAAAAGAAGAACCAGCCGATCAACTGGGACTTGGGAGGCAGAGAATAGATGGGGGCGGGGCCAGTCAGAGGTGGTATTTGCCGGTTCTCCGAACTACCCAAAATTTCTGCTACCGGTTCTCCAGAACTGGTCAGAACCTGCTGAATACCTCTGATGTACAGGTAGTCCTTGACTTGCTAGTTTGTTTAGTGACCATTCAAAGTTACAATGGCACTGAAAAAAAGGATTGATGACTGTTTTTCATAGTTACCTTTTCCAGGATCCCCATGTTCATGTGATCAAAATTCAGGCGCTTGGCAACTGGTTCATATTTATGACCATTGCTATGTCCCAAGATCATGTGATCACTTTTTGCAACCTTCTGACAAGCAAAGCCAATGGGGAAGCCAGATTCACTTAACAACCAGGTTACTAACATTTACTGCAGTGGACCACTTAACAACCGAGGCAAGCAAGGTTGTAAAATGGGGCAAAATTCACTTAACAGATATCTCAACAGAAATTTTGGGCTCAATCGTGGTCATGCATTGAGGACTGCATTTTCTCATACATATAGGACAATATAAGGAATGTGCTTCATCCATATCCAGTGGAGCTGACCAGTGCCACTATTATTCACTTAATTCAAGAAAAATAATGCAGGAGAAATATGACATTGGTTAGGACAAGCAAAATATTCCCCTCCTTAAAATACCTTTTAAGTTGATTGAATCATTAGTGAGGAAATAGTTACGTACAATGAAAGGATTTGACAATGGAAGAATGAGATGGCAAAATTAACAGCTTTTATTAGAGAAAAGACATTAAATTAATGCTGACTTGGAAACCCCCTTTGGACTTTTTGTGTGAAACAGAAATGAAAGTTATGATGTAAACTTAAGAGTATGAAGTTCATATAAATTTATACTTATATCTGAAAGAAAACAGGAAGTCATTTTTTTTCTTTTTTTTCTGTAATTTTGGCATTGTTCTTTTACTCTTTACTTTTTTCTATCTTCAGAAGTTTTTCTTAGTTTTTATATCTACTAAAGTTTTAATAAATATATCTTTAAAATTAATCTTTAAGGATTTAAAACACTATGAAAATTATGAAGAGCTATTGAAGGAAAGTTAATAATCAAATTATTTTCCTTCAGTGACTTCATAAATTTTACAATTTAAAGAAATCGGTTGTGTCCTAGATGTTATACTTTCAGGGAGAATAAAAACCAGTTTTCATAAACAGAGGACAAAATACAACGTATTTAAAAGTTTTCAAACAGGATGGTGTAATGGATTGCTGCACTGAGCAGAAAGTTGAACTGGCTGGTTACCTCCAACACAGACACAGTATTCAATTATTAGCTTCATTTGATTCAAAAATATTGTATTTATAAATAGACAATAAAATGTTTTTCAACAGGACTGCTATTAAAAGTGAACATTGGAAATGAAAAAAAAAATCTCCTTCCAATTCTACTATTGCCTCTAAAAGATAAATTCTCTGTGATTTTTTTAAATATTTCAGTGCTGTTTTTACAGCTACTTAATCTGCAAAGTAATTTATACTTACAACAGATTGCAGGCTGAACATGAGCAGAAACTGTACCATTCAAACAAGGCACAGTGCAGTCAGGTTCTTCTACTTACACTATTAAAGGATTTTATCATCCCAACTGGATTGTCTGATATTCCTTATAGTTTACACTAACGTGATGTTCTAAACCAGTATTGGTTAAGATTTTCTGGAACCTAATATTTTTTCCTGCATACAGTTTGAGTTTATCTCAGTTCCTTCTAAGCTAAGCCATGCTAACTGGAATATTTTTATTTAGAATGCAAAAATGTAAGGAGAGGGACAACTTTATTGTTTGCAATAATAGTTTTTAATACGTTAGCCGTGTCAGTAATATTTTTAAAAATATGAAACTTTTGAACAACAATCTTAACAATGTAGATTTACTGAATGCAAGGCAACCAACATTATAAATAAATACAAATCTAATATTTTATTTAGTTTTAAGGAGTTAATGTGCATTGATATTAGTAATGTAACTTGCTGTGTCTGTGTATCTTAAAATTATTTTTGCTTGCAAAAATAGCTTTATCTTGGTCTCCACTTAATATCCTTGACACCATGAAAATGTCTTTTCAGGGCATGACTATCAGCCCATTCAGAATCTAAAAATGAATCATCATCATTTTCTTCCAATTTCTGAAAAACATGAAAAGAAAATGAGTTATATATTGCAAATAAAATGTAACTATCTTGTTTCCAATAGAGTAACACAGCAACTCCTGATACCTTGAGTTCTTCTTGCCTTCTGTGATAAAAAAGAATCATCTGTTTATGTTCTTCACTACTTATGAAAGGCTCACGCGCTGGAGCTCCTTGCCCTTTCTGGGAACAATAACAGAAGTTAATCTATTTCAACCTGCCTTAATCAGACAATGGAATACCTATTGTTATGATGAATAAAATGTCATGAGACAGAGACATTAGTCTCTCTACAAGCAGGAATAGGCAACATACAATTCCAGATTGCAATGTCACTAGGGTGGATGATGAAGAATTGTAGAGGCTGTAATTCAGCCACACACGGAGTGAATCGGGGTTCTTTTACTTTACAAAGGATAGTTTCTCTGTACTGGAACAGAGGGACGGGTTGCCCTAATGTTTTTAGTGCAGAGGTATGATGATCCTACAATCATTTTTATAGCAATAAATGAGGTCTGCCTTGCTTTTGAACATCATACTTACCTGTGTGAAGTTAAAAAATGTAAAATACAATAACATCTCAAACATAATAAATGCGGCAAAATGTTGCTTTGGCTGAGTGTAAACCTATATAAAAACTCTCACTTTACTCTTATGTCACAAATACTTACTTTTTGTATTTTGATAATAATTTTTGTTTTCTCATTTTTCCCAACATAGTCAGAAAGCTGGTTTGTTCTTTTCAGTTCCTTTGCTGCCCACCACAGCTGGGCCTCTGGTTCTTCAACAATCTCAAGGGCAGCCTGTAACAAACTGAGCTTTACAATAGGCAGGATCTAAGGGAACACGAGCAGATGGCTGCTCACAATATACTTCCTTCCTTGTACTGCTCTTCATAGCCTTTAAATCTGCTCTGAATGGTTAAAGGATTCCTTAGAACATTGTTGAGATCTATATAAGGGACCTCAAAAAGAGAAATGCTCATCTACTATTCAATTACTAAAAATCGCCAGTAACTAAAATGGAGTTTATTAACACAGATCAGAACTTACAAAGTTTCTGTTTGCAGAGTGCTGGGAATAACAGTGAAGTTATTTAAACTTATCAGTTAATTAACTCTTAGTGAAAGAAATATGAGGACTTAAAAATGCACAGTGATGAGAGGGTCGCATCATCAGTTTTTTCAATAAAATCTCCAGCTTTAATCTTTGATTTCCAAGTCTAATACCTAACTCTTTTTAAGATATATTTTTTTCAACAGTTACAGTTAACAAGCGGAAGTAACAGAATTTACTTTCTTGCAATGATGAAATATCAAGGGAAAATGTCTTTTTTAAGTGTAAATATATATCACTATGTAAAATTTTTATATATTGTACAGCAGTATAATAATGAACAAATTACATTTTCCAAACATCTCTCTAGGAAGAACAATATTTTTAAAAAATAAAAACCAGAAAATCAAAACTAACACTTACTTGAGTTCCTGACAGATCTTCTTTATTTTCAAACTCCATTCTAATTGGGTCATATGGAGGGAGGCCCATTGGATACACAATCATTACAGCTCCTCGGAGCTGGTCGAGTGCATCTTTTACCATACTGGTAGTAACGCATACATTGGCTTCCACTTGTTTCTGCAATACAGAGATAAATAATAAATAATAAAGATAATAAAGAGTAGCTTTTTCTCTGGTAATATCACACTACTAACGAGAGCATACAAAACATTTGCTAGACCAATATTTGAATACAGCCCATCAGTCTGGAACCCACATTATGTATCTGATATTAACACAGTTGAGAAAGTCCAGAAATATTTCACAAGAAGAGTTCTCAACTCCTCTACTCGTTGTAGAATACCTTATGCCACCAGACTTGAAATTCTAGACCTAGAAAACCTTGAATTACGCCGTCTTCGGTCTGATCTAAGTATGGTATATAAAATCATACATTGCAATGTCCTACCTGCAAATGAATACTTCAGCTTCAATCGTAACAATACAAGAGCACACAATGGATACAAACTCAAGGTTAATCGCACCAAACTTTGATTGCGGGAAATACGACTTCAGCAACAGAGTGGTCAATGTCTGGAATACTCTACCTGACTCTGTGGTTTCTTCCACAAACCCCAAAAACTTTAACCTTAGACTGTCTACTATGGACCTCACCCCTTTCCTAAGAGGTCTGTAGGGGGCGTGCATAAGTGCACCAACGTGCCTACCGTCCCTGTCCTATTATTTCTTTTATTTTTCTTATATGTACCCATTTCATGTATTCATAACTATGTATATACTTATACCTATTACCTTGTAAGCAATTGACAAATCAAAATAAATAAATAAAAATAAAATAGAAACAACTTAAACAAAAAAGAAGGTTCTTGGGGTCTTAGTGGACAACCACTTAAATATGAGCCAGCCGTGTGCCATAGCTGCCAAAAAAAAGTACACACAGTTCTAGGCTGCATTAGCAGAAGGACAGAAGTGTCACATGAAGTGTTAATACCACTTTATAATGCCTTGGTAAGGCCACACTTGGAATACTGCATCCAGTTTTGGTCGCTACAATGTAAGAAAGATGTTGAGACTCTGGAAAGAGCGCAGAAAAGTGCGACAAAGATGATTAGGGGATTGGAGGCTAAAACATATAAAGAACGGGAATTGGGCAGGGATGACAGGATAGCAGTGTTCCAATATTTAAGGGGCTGCCACAAAGAAGAGGGAGTCAAGCTATTCTCCAAAGCACCTGAGGGCAGGACAAGAAGCAATGGATGGAAACTAATCAAGGAGAGAACCTAGAACTAAGGAGAAATTTCCTAACAGTTAGAACAGCTTGTCAGTGGAACAGCTTGTCTGTAGAAGTTGTGAATGCTCCAACACCGGAAGTTTTAAAGAAGAGACTGGACAGCATTTGTCTGAAATGGTACAGGATTCCTGCCTTAGCAGGGGGTTGGACTAGAACAGTTCTGAGGTCCCTTCCAACTGTTATTGTGTTATTCTGTAAAATGAATTAACTAATACACTATCGAAGAAGGAATTCTTCCTCTGAAATCTACAATGAGACAGCACAGTGTGAGATAAAGCCAAATAACAAAAAATATTGTTCCCATTTTTAGAATAACATTTCTCTGTCTATTGCTATTATCTACTACCAATTTATCATCTATTCAGAATTATTTATATTAAACATTTTTGTTAAAGCGTGGATCACCTATTGTGTACCTGTGCATCTGATTTTTCCTATCTAAGTGTTGAACATTACATTTATCCCTGTGTAATATTCACTGAATAGCACTCAGTTTTCAAGAATTTCAAGTTTCTTTTGAACTATGAACCTGTCTTTCAAATGTTAGCTTCATGAAGCAGCTTATTCCTGAATTGTTGGAACTCGGAAAAGCTGAAAAAACATGTCCATTGTGATAGGTATTCAGGAGTAAAGAGTAGAACTGGATTGTCTTTTTGTTTTAGGTGGCTTTTAATTCTGGTTAATTTTTAAGTTTGAAGTGACAAATTTTAATGGGCGTTGAAGCATGTTCGGCTTTTTATTATTATGGGTTTTATTGTACTAAACTACTTAAGAGTTTACGTGATTATACAGTATCTACATTGTGCAATAGTCAAATAAATAAATAACAAGTCTGGTTCTTTAAAAAATATTTTATATCACATTAGGTATGAATCCAAAGATGTGGTTGTTTAATCAAGAAAATGCAATTAAATAAATACAAGTTTACTTCAATTAGTGGTTTGTTTTAGAATCAGACTTCCTGCTATTCTTTGAACAGCCTAAGAACAATTGTCTCTGATAGCCTAGAGATGCTGGCTCATAAATTATATTTCACCAATAATATTGTACGTTACCTTAGAAATCAGTGCCTTTGCTTCTTCTACAGTTGCCTTTAACACTTGTTTCATTTTCTCATTTGGAGCTTAAAAAATAAATATGCAGATGATAGTAAACAATATTATATAACTATGGAAGTAATATAATTACTATTTTGTATTGAAATGGCCTCTAAATTAAAAATCAGCTATTGTGATTAAAAATCAGATATTATCTTAAACTCTATCCAATATGAAAAAATCACAAAATCCAGTGATTTACAGATATTCACATTAGAAAACTTAAGCGTGTGGAATTGGCCCAAGTGAGCCAACAATAAAGCGTTTGATCAAGGATGTTAAACAGAAAAATTCATGTCTATTCAGGAATAAATCTCAGCAGGGATTAGATCTAATTTACCAAAAAAAAAAAAAAAAAGAGCCACAGCATGATATTGGAGCCAGAGGTAACAAAGAATAAGGGTTAAACAAAGGAAAGAGAGCTTACACAGCAATAAAAAAATGCAAACAGTAGCAGGCTCTGTTGAGTAATTTAGCCCCATATAAACACTTCATTTGTCAATATACACTGCTCAAAAAAATAAAGGGAACACAAAAATAAGACATCCTAGATCTGAATGAAATAAATATTCTTATTAAATACTTTGTTCATTACATAGTTGAATGTGCTGACAACAAAATCACACAAAAATTATCAATGGAAATCAAATTTAGCAACCCATGGAGGTCTGGATTTGGAGTTACACTCAAAATTAAAGTGGAAAAAAACACTACAGGCTGATCCAACTTTGATGTAATGTCCTTAAAGCAAGTCAAAATGAGTAGTGTGTGTGGCCTCCACATGCCTGTATGACCTCCCTACAACGCCTGGGCATGCTCCTGATGAGGTGGCGAATGGTCTCCTGAGGGATCTCCTCCCACACCTGGACTAAAGCATCCCCCAACTCCTGGACTGTCTGTGGTGCAACGTGGCGTTGGTGGATGGAGCGAGACATGATGTCCCAGAAGTGCTCAATTGGATTCAGGTCTGGGGAACAGGCGGGCCAGTCCATAGCATCAATGCCTTCATCTTGCAGGAACTGCTGATACACTCCAGCCACATGAGGTCTAGAATTGTCTTGCATTAGGAGGAACCCAGGGCCAACTGCACCAGCAAGGGGTCTGAGGATCTCATCTCAGTACCTAATGGCAGTCAGGCTACCTCTGGTGAGAACATGGAGGGCTGTGCGGCCCCTCTAAAGAAATGCCACCCCACACCATTACTGACCCACTGCCAAACCGGTCATGCTGGAGGATGTTGCAGGAAGCAGAATGTTCTCCACGCGTCTCCAGACCCTGTCACGTCTGTCACATGTGCTCAGTGTGAACCTGCTTTCATCTGTGAAGAGCACAGGGTGCCAATGGCGAATTTGCCAATCTTGGTGTTCTCTGGCAAATGCCAAAACATCCTGCACGGTGTTGGGCTGTAAGCACAACCCCCACCTGTGGACGTCGGGCCCTCATACCACCCTCATAGAGTCTGTTTCTGACCGTTTGAGCAGCCACATGCACATTTGTGGCTGCTGGAGGTCATTTTGCAGGGCTCTGGCAGTGCTCCTCCTGTCCCTCCTTTCACAAAGGTGGAGGTAGTGGTCCTGATGCTGGGTTGTTGCCCTCCTACGGCCTCCTCCACATCTCCTGATGTACTGGCCTGTCTCCTGGTAGCGCCTCCATGCTCTGGACACTACGCTGACAGACACAGCAAACCTTCTTGCCACAGCTCTCATTGATGTGCCATCCTGGATGAGCTGCACTACCTGATCCACTTGTGTGGGTTGTAGACTCCTTCTCATGCTACCACTAGAGTGAAAGCACCGCCAGCATTCAAAAGTGACCAAACCATCAGCCAGAAAGCATAGGAACTGAGAAGTGGTCTGTGGTCACCACCTGAAGAACCACTCCTTTATTGGGGATGTCTTGCTAACTGCCTATGCTTTCCACCTGTTGTCCGTTCCATTTGCACAACAGCATGTGAAATTGATTGTCAATCAGTGTTGCTACCTAAGTGGACAGTTTGATTTCACAGAAGTGTGACTGACTTGGAGTTACATTGTGTTTTTTTAAGTGTTCCCTTTATTTATTTTTTTGAGCAGTGTATATAGCTTATTAAAGAAATACATGTGCAGTGGGATATATTTAATAGAAAAAGCAATGTAATGCCACCTTACCTAGCACAGCACAGATCTTAGAAGCTTTGTAGAAGGATGGTACCAAAATAAGACACATATATAAGCCTCAGATGGCAAGAGGGATGGAAAAGGGGAACAGACCAGTAGTAAGTATGCCAAGTAGTTTAATATGTTATTAACAAGAATGTGAGCAAAGTCCCACATTCCTCTCTTTTCCACAGAGAAGCACCGACACAAAAGCACTGAGCCACTGACTGAATCTTTGCAAAGGAGAGCAGGGCTCTCCTTCAACAAAGGGAATCAGTTCGTTATTACCACTTTTTCTGAATTGCTAGGATGGGAGAAATAGGAGGAAGACGGCAAATGACAGGTGAGGGATGAGAGGGATACATACAACAACTGTACCTTGGAATCTTATGGTTTGCCTACCTGATTAAAATATCGGCCCCAGGATTAATGGAAATGGGAAAAGCAGAATGAAATACTAAAAATGGTGCAATATATTAAGTCAATAAAATCATGAAAATGCTCTCTGGAATAATTGGGTTTTAATTATTTAATATCTTCCCAAAAAGCCAGTAGGGAGGGGGCAAGTTGATCTCTAAAAGGAAGCCATTCCAAAGCAACCACTTTGCTAGAGAGAAGCAGTGCCACCAAGCTCCAGCTCCTCTCACCTTCGAAGTATGGAATCATTAGCAGCGGTTTCCTGTAAGATCTAAAACAGGGATCACCAACCTTTCGGACCTCAGGGACCACTAAATTCATAATTTTCAATCCCGCAGACAACTAATACGATCTGCCTAATGATCGGTTGGGCGGGCGTTGCTAGGTGATCATGTGACTGTGTGGGCGTGGCCAACTCGCTGTCACTCACACTGAGGGGCACCTCTCCAGCCTCTGCTCAGCTCTCCCCTCCCAGTCACTTTTCACCTACCCACCCGGGCTCCTTAGGGCCCCAACAGGAAGCAGTTGTTGGAGCTAAGCAGTCTCCGCGAGAAAAGAGTTGCCAAAACAGCTGGCTCAGTTTAAATTGGATCTGACAGAGAAGGAGGCTCAGCAGAAGCACCACACTGAGGACTATGAGCATAGACTTTCCAAGCAGAGGGAAGACCTGTGGGAGTGCAAGGCCAGGCACCGGTGCCTGGAGCTCAGTGGGCTAAGATGGGCAGCCAGTTCCAGGCCATGATGCAGTCCCACTGGAAGAAGGCCCTCCGGCTCTTTGCCAATCTTTGCCTTTCCCTCTAGCCTTCGCCCAAAGCCCTGCACCAGGAGGCTGAAGCAGATCCTAAGTTGGAATTTCTGCCCCCCTCTGCCCCGCACAAAAAGATCCCGAAGAGGGAGACTCTCTGCAGCAACACAAACGTTCATTGTATGTATCCGGACCAGGGGGCCTAGTTTGAGGACCCCTGATTTAGTGCAATATAAAAAATGCAAGTAATTTTTCTGTGGACCACCAACACTTTCTCATGGATCTACAATGGTGCATGGACCACCAGTTGGTGGCCACTGATCTAAAAGGTACTGGGAGAAGATTGCCCTGAAGATACTCAGATGAAAGGATTTAATGTTTAAATCCTTTCAGAACCTTGAATTGCATTCTGAAATATAGCACCAAAAGTCTAAAGAGCATTTTTCCTTTCTTTGCAATACTGAATTTTAGAAACATGTTTTAAGTTGTGCTGCTGGCTGAACTTGCTTGCACACAGGGCATATAATGTTATCTAGCATTGATATTTATTAATCAAAATTTGAAAGTATACAATATGCCAATATTTTTTTATAAAATTTGGCAAGCTATTTTTATATGCAAAAAGTTATCTACTCATATATATATTTATTTACCATGACCATTTCTTCGTCCAATGTCATCTTTTTTAAATGTGCTTCCACCACTGGGAATACATTTTTTTGCCCATTCATCTGTCAGTTTCAGCTCTTCAATTTGTTCATCTGTCAGACCTTGCATGTTAGGAGGTAAGAAAATACCGTGTTCTGCCAGCGATTCCATTTCTTTCAAAAGAACAAAGAGTGGGACATGGAGATGTTATATAAAATGTCCTTTAACCATTGTTATTGTTAAAATAAAGTACAGCAGTATAACAAATTCTGCAATCTATTTAATATTATTAGAATATATTACAAATTTCTCAGAGGTCATACTTAAAAAAGATTATAATCCGTTCCTATTTGAATATATTGTAAATATTGCTGAAATATATATTTAGAAAAAGATAGCAGTTAATAACAGACTGAAAGAAAGCACAAAATGTACCACAACAGTAATCCATGAAGAGAAATTTTAGAAAAATGTACAACCAGCAGAATTGGTTGAGTTGTTTCCAATATTCAGAAAGTTCATCGGTGACATGAACTTAGTGTGTTGGCTATAAAGAGTAAGCAAAAAGAAGATTCAGAATAGCCCAGAGTTGCGAATTAATACAATAAATTATTTGTATTAAATTATAATAAATATGATAATAATTATATTACTTATTATTTATTACATTTATTATTTATTATGTTCACATTATAACTATCGTATATAATATATATTATTTAATAAATTATTATTAAATTATTTGTTATATTTTTACCTAAGAAATTTAAGTAATAGGACAAAATAATAAATTGACATATTTAATACCTGCACAAAGACGATGAACTTTGAGTCTTCCATTATAGATTTTGGCTACTTCCTTTGTTAAGTCTTCAATGGAAACCCTACCTGTTGTTTCTAGAAGAAACTGGCTCTCATCTCCATGCTTCACGTGGAGCAGAACCATTTCTGTTAAAGCAGAAACACAAGTGCATGGTAGATATTATGAATTTATTCTAGCCTTGGCAGCCTGAAATTTAGACCCATGGCAGAGAATCATCTTAGTGGCGCAGTGGTTAGAGTGCAGTACTACAAGCTACTCCTACTGCAATTTGGTAGATCAAATCCCACCAGGCTCAAGGTTGACTCAGCTTCCATCCTTCTGAGGTGGGTAAAATGAGGACCCAGATTGTTGGGGGCAATATGCTGACTCTGTAAACTACTTTGAGAGGGCTGTAAAGCATTACAAAGCGGTATATAAGTCTAAGTGTTATTGCTATGTTTCCCCTTAGGCGTGGTGTGATTCTATTTGGTTAAATACAGCAACAATATGTAAATTTTGTTGAAAACAAATCTTCTATTATTTATAACCCAGTACTCATTTATATAAGAATAAATATAAAAAAGTCAAAATTTAAAAAAAACAAAGCAAAAAGCAACATATAAACAATACAGAATCAAGGCTGGTGACAATATACATTAATATTACAAAACAGGCTCATTTTCCATTCTGGCCCAATATGTGGGGGAAGGGGGCTTAATCCAAAAGGTATATGCAGCAACAGTGAGGGCACATCTCTTAGATCCCATTAGATGGCATTGCTTTAGAAATGGGACCTTAAGCATACCCACCTCGGGTGATGGGAACAAACAACTGAGAAAAAGGCAGACCTGCAAATAACCCCATCCTATGTCACAGCACTCAGAAGCCAAAAGACTTTACACAGGCAAAATCTGATCCAAAGTTACCATCCTCCACCCATGTCAGGCAACACCTAAGACCTCAGTGCAACTTTGCAGAACTTCAGACATAAGTCCACATTCCCATCAGGTCCTTATGACACAACAGGTTCTGATCCAACAAATTCTTTATCCATGCAAGAGAATAGCAGGATCATGTTATCGTTGCACCTAGACAAAAATCATATCTGGTGTATGACTCCTCATATGTCTTCAATAACCTAGGTCAGGTCTGTTTCTGCCACGGTAGCCGTGAAGTCCCAAGCTGTTTCTGACTCTCTGCCTAGAGAAGGAAGATTGAAGCCCAACAAAATGGGAAGCCTTGGAAACTACACTGCCAACCTGGAAACATCATCCAGCGGCTTGGCTAGAAAAGCAATCACGTGGCAATTGCATTTAATCCCAGAACACAATTCACCAATAGGATTTCACATCCAATTATCTGTGGAACAACACTCATGAATGTCAAAAGGTCTCCTAAATGACAAAATCTACCTCCTGCCTCTGTGCTGGGGTTGTAGCTAATGCCAGATACAAAACCCAGTTGGGCACTAAAGTAGAATTTGGGGCTAATTGTTAGAGAAACCCCAATTTTATTTATTAAACAACCTTTACAGTAGAATTAACAACATAATAGATCTTTTTAATTGCTGGAAAAAGTGAAGTGGAGCCTGGAATTCTTAGCTGTGCTTAAAGTAACAAGGTGCTAACAAGATAAGTGAAAGTATTAACTGCAAGAATGTGAGTTAGTTTTTGGATGTATATACGTATATTTAAGATATATATGAAGCATAAAAAATATACTTAACCAAAGGCTTCTGTTTTTCAGGTAGAAAAAAGTTATCTCACTGATCTTCCCACACTAAATATTAAAATACACATTAACCGACCCAATCAACAGCAGTAATTTTGTCAAAGTATAATAATAATAACCAATAATGTGGGTAACATATTATAAGTAGAAAACAGCCAATCCAAGAGACAATCTACAGGGTGGAGGTTCTGTAACCTCCACCCTATTTATGCTTTGTTCAATAAAATCATCCTGCTTTAATATAATGGTATCCTAGCCTCACCTTTAAAGAGAGACTTCTTTTGGAGGGATTTTCTACTAGAACATTTCTGAGAGGGTTACCCCTCACCCCAATTCTGTTCCAAACCAGATCTTGGTAATACATACAAGGCAGGCCTTTTCATCCCTGATTAAATCATGGACGAGTGAAGTTTTATTACAGAGAATGTGGCACTGAGAAGCAACAGTTGAGTACCAGGGCCTCCTTGGCTTTGATCACTGGGCAATGGGCAACTGTAATACGACAGTGGCACTAAATACTGATGTATTCTCTGAAAATGGCAGCCCCAAGTTCCTACCATATCTCCCTTTCCCATCACCACCAAGATGTCATTGCCTGTCCACAGCAGGATCCCTGCCTCCCAGAATACAACTTTGATAGCCCTGAACCTTGCAGCAGGTTTTGATAGCAACAATTGGTGCAATGTAAGTTAGAAGGTGTAGCATAACAGTTCTTCTTGGCACTGTCTTATAAGGTTAACTGTTTTTCATTCCATGGTGAGTTCTCTGTGTGGTACTGTAAAATTCTGCATTATTATCCAGAGTTTCCAAGATCTACATAAAAGTACAGAAGTTGTATCAAGACATATACCTTTACAGATTATAATCAATAAAGAATATTTTTAGCGCAGGATTAAAATGTGGGGTCCTTGGTGCTCTCTGTGTTGGATTGTTTTCTTACAAAGATTTCATTAGCCAAACTAGGTAATATTATCAGTACTGATGATGTTACCTAGTTTGGGTAATGAAATCTCTATAGGAAAACAACCCAGTTCAAAGAGCACCAAGGACCCCCACCCCCATTATAATCAACTCTCTCTCAAACAACCATTGCCTGATCTCAAACAGGTGATTGAGCATTTTCTCATTGAGAAAATAGTTTTGATTGAGTTCAGCATCAACAGACTTAGGGGCAGTTACAGTTAAAGTGATCCTCAGGGTAGACCAAGTGATAATAGTCAGCAAGAGTTCTTTCTAAATTGGTGCCCTTGCTGAAATACTTAGGTAAAAAGTGAACTTGTTTTCAGTTTTCAGTATTGATACTGAGGATTGAGGACAGTATCTGACACTACTTTTAAAGGCAGTTTAGAAATTCAAGAGGTGTAGAATGTGGGCATTATTTGTGATCTGCAAATCATCACGAGATATCTACAGACTAAAACTATATTAAACAATACAAAAATTAATGATATAACTAGAAACTGGACAAAGGTTTTTTTTTAAAAAAAAAAACTAAAATAGAACTGTTGTCATTGAAGTCTAGCTCACAAATGTATGAATCCTTTGCTCCCCAGCACCTAGTGCTTTCCACACAATAGCACTGAAAATTTAGCATATGAATATTGTTACAGAATTATTTGATAGTACAAAGTTGTAAAATCTATTTCCGATTCTGCAATGTAGGACATTCAGTGGCTTGTTCATTACCCTGGAATTTCAAGCTCCTCTATTAACCATGGCCTCAAACCCACTACCAGCTTCTGGTTCATAAATGATTTATCTGGATTTATCAAACGCATCTGCCACAACAGTTGAGGAAATAAGTAAAAGCGAAAGATAAAGAGCCCGAGAAAGGGCGAAGAATGTACTGTAGTCGGTATCCATGGCAACCAACAGACGCAGTGGCTTCCCGAACAACGGAACCTTCTCGATCACCCCAACAGCCTCTAAGATGGAAACATTTCTCACCTGGATCGGTCAACCTATAACTAGGCCTGCAGACCGAACTTCCCCTCTAGCCCACCAGAAACGCGGCGATAGCGGGACTCGCAGATCCCTGCCCGCTGCGCCAAAGGCTACCCTTGACCCAGGAAGCTTTCGTCCTGAAAGCCAACCATAGAGAGGAGCTCGGCGAAGAACCGCAACTTCCCCGTCACTCCAAGACACGGCCTCTAAAAGGGACGGAGCGCTTTTCATTGGCTGTTTAGGGTTGCTGTAGAAACACGCTTTGCAGAAGAATCGGGAAACGCGCGAGCTTCCGGAAGCTTTTTGACCCGCGGATTGGAGTCGCTGGCGGCGGCAACGGCAACGGCAACGGCAACCTATCCAGGGGCCTCTGCGTTTGTATTACGATCTTCTGAGCAGGCTTTTGCCTGAGGCTGAAAGCAGGTTAACTGCATTGTATAGCCTCAAAAAGGATCGCAGCTACTCTGTTTTCTTCCCTACTGTCCTTGTGGGAGTCCTACATTATTATTATTACACTGTGGTAAGATGGGCGGCCAATAATTTAATAAAGAAATATTAAATTTATTGGCTGCGTATCTCGCCCCAGGGTAATCTAGGAGAGTCGCCAACCATAAAAAAAATGGAATAAAACATTTAAACAAAGCGAAAGTAAAATAGAATAAAAAAAATACAAGGAAAACATCTTTCAATCAGGGGTCCCTCGTTACCTCAACCCCGAGCTACACATATTCTCCTTTATTGGTACATCTCAGTGAATCAGAATAAAGCTGGAAGGGACCTTGGAGGTCTTCTAGTCCAACCCCCTGCTCAAGCAGATCTATATCATTTCAGAGAAGTGACTGTCCAGTCTCTTCTTAAAAACCTCCAGTGATGAAGCACCTGTAACTTTTGAAGGCAAGCTGTTGCATTTGTCCTCACTGTTGGGAAGTTTCTCCTTAATTTCAGGTTGCTTCTCACCTTAATTTGTTGCCATTGTTTCTTGTCTTGCCTTTGTAAAAAACACCACCAGATGGGCTTGTGGGGAGCAGAGAAAGGAGGGAGTCTGCTGTCAGTCTAGCAAACCACCTCCAGAGCAGAACATCCACATTGGGAAGGCCAATTTGCAGGGCCAGGTTTTTAGGCTCTTACTGAAGGATAGGATGTTGGGGGCAGAACTTACCCTGTAGGACAGTGAAATGCAGTGTAATACCTCACAGTTTTATATTACTTGCCATTTTGCATGATTTGGAAGTCTAGGTTGTACTACTTTGTAGCTTTGTTTGCCTACAGATATTTTTAAAGGTATTTTTCTTGCTATCAGTGTTTTTTATAGCCAACATGGCTACCTTGGCATTTTTGCCCTACTGCATTAAATTGTGGTAGTAAGAGCTTTCCTCCTCCCTAGGTCCTGCTGTGTTGCTTCATGGCAGGGGAAGACATTTCTGGGAGGGATGAGGGAAGATTGTTGGGGGATGTACTGTCATGTAAGGCATAGAAGTAATCCCAACTCCAAAGCAAAAGCAAGCGACAATTATATTTTCACCACAATAAAGATGGTATAAATGGATGATCACTTTAGTGGCGGCAATAAAGGCATCGTTTCATACGATGCAGGGAAAGGTGATGGTATACTATTCCTGTATTTTACCACATGGAAAGGTGCTGTAAAGATTGGCAATGTAGTGATGGGCTCCTCAGGTCACATGGACATAACACCTTATTGAGGAACAGCTGAGGATCTCATGTTGTTTACAATATGGGTGTATTAAAACCTTTGAAGTGACTAGTTGACAATATTGCCATGCAGGACAAGAAAACTGGAAGCTGCAAACACAGATCTGGACCCATTATGCAAAGGCCCAGCTCTCTTGAGAAGTCCATAATGCTAGGAAAGATATTAGGATGGAGAAAAATATATTAGGATGGACAATTGGTAGCAGGCTGTATGGACTAAATTACAGTAGTAATGTATACACTACTCTTGGGAGACTTGAACGATCATGAAGGGAACAGATTGTCTTGGAGAAAATCCATGTGGTTAGTTAAGAGTTGACACTACTTTGATGGCAATTTCCAGTTGTAATTAAGCAAAACTATATAGCCCCATTTCAATCTAAGGCCCTAGATGGCTCAAGAACCAACAGTAGAATGAGGATTATCACAAAAAGATTATTGCAGACATTCCATGTCTTTTCCTTTTTTCCAGGTCTATTTTTCCAGGTTACAACTGTTAGGGCATAGAAACTGAGGCAGAATTAAGATGGAAGTAAGAACCAAGTAGAATGGTCAGACCAGATAAATATTCTGCAAAAGTTTTCATCAATCTTATTGCTTCACGAAGTTTGTTGGCTCCTGATGTCCCAGGCCTTTATATAAAGATTACCTCTGATGATCTTAGATCAGAAAGACAACTGAAAATTTTAAGTCCACAAGGGTAAAGCCAAATTTTGACAGCATCAATAATGGAGATATATTCCTAACATTGGGAAAATTTATTTCATAAAGTAACATGTTTCACAGTATATGTATATGCAGTATTGTAAACCATCAATATTAATATTGTAATGGAGATAAGCAATTATTGTGTACTATAAGCAATAACTTATACATTAACAAAGCAATTTGCACAGGAAAACACTTAAAAGAAAATAGATAGGATTTTAGACTGTTGTAATTTTGACTCTCTAATATTGATTTCCTTTAACAGTACACATTATAATAAACTACTCATCCTATGCTCATACGTGCTTTGTTGCAATTTTTGTGGTACTTTGCTGCCAGATTTTATAATCCATTGAAGATGCTGAGGCCTATATTTGAAATTTAATAGAACTATATTATATAAACTATAAATTAATTAAATATTCAAACAAGGACCACATATAAAAGAACTGTAATTGCACTACCGAGAATACAGTTGTGTTGCTAACATTATAATACCAATGCAGAACACATGTTAATACATTATGGAACCAGAAAATTATAGTTGTTCTGCTGTTTCAAAATGTACAATTTTAAAAGCACAATATAGAAGTCACTGTATTTAATAACTGTACTTTAATGAGTAGAAGTGTTATATGAGATGATTTATATAAATACATTGGAACAGTATTAGAGAAATTGAAATGATGGTTTATTTTTACTGCTCCATGGAATGAGGTGCTGCACTCAGATACCACAGAAGGAAAATATTTTGTAAACAGAGCATACTATAACAGTCTGCAAATACAGCAAAAGGAACAGACATATTTAGCATGGCCCTTCTCAAGAAAGATTTTCATAAATTTAAAAAAAAACAAGCAATATAAATAGATGTAATAATATGATTAAGAAAAGACTATCTTGCTTAACAGTAGTATAGAACAGACATATATTTCCTTCATGACATGAAAATACGACTTTTAAGTGCCATCTGTTGCAAAAATTTTGGAGGCAGACAATTGCGAGTTTACAAAGCATTATGTAAGGGAGTATGGCATCACCTATAATATTGATGTTTGTCTGTGGAAAGTGATATATTTAACTTGTCAGAATAGTACACAAACCATTGTTTTGTTCATTCATACCATATTTGAGACACATTACTTCTATATATTGTAAAGGAGAAAGCTGGGAAAGTTGAAATATATGGACCATCTATCCAATTACTTCTTTACACAGATCTTCCTATCAAAATGAATATAAATTTTCCTTCAACTTAGAAAGCAACATTCATATTAGAATAGGAAGCTATATAATGAGAATAAGGTCAGGAGGAGAATAACAATAAACTGCAAAAAAATTTCTCATGTCTGCAAAACAAAGCATGTGCAATAATAGGAAAAATATATTACTATATATTGTTTAAAATTATTTCAATTGTTGAGGGAATTAACTTCTACAAATCTTCATAAACCTCTATTATTTATTTCCTGACATTAATATTACACAATTGGCATCTTAAATTTTGACAGTTCTTTGGTGAATACTTACGTATAAATATACCAGTTATCAGATTCTGGAAGTGGTTCTAGTTCTAACAGAAGGGCATTTAAAATTGTATTTAAATTCTTATATAAGAATGTTCAAGAAACAATTGTTTAAAACTCTTGTGTGATATTCAGAGAAACCAATGCATGCTTGTTGCTCTTGAAAGACAAACTTAATGTTATACTTTCCTATGAACTAAAGTGGGATTGAAACAAGTGTAACTTTTCCTTGCATTGTGTCCATTAAAGGAACAGAATAAGATCACTACTTGGATTAATTCTGTGCGTGATTCCCCACCCTGCCACCTTTGTGTAGTGACCTAAGAATTAATGTTCAGTGCACCTGATTAAAGTATTGCACATACAAAATTAAATCAATGCCCAGTTCTATTAGATAATTTTTAACTAATACTTTCTACCCAGTTTAAATAATTATATCTTAAATAATTTATCTTTCCATAAAATCTTGTGTCGGTAATGTTTTAGGTGCTAAACAAATTAAAGGATCTGTGGTCAAGTTGCTGTTGGTAGATCTGGATGGTATTGGGGGTGCAGGAGGGGGTCTTGCTGGCAATAGATGAAAAGGTTCAGAACTTTTGCTATGACCACTGTAAACAGTAAAGTCTGAGTCAGTGATATTTTGTTCAGTGCCCAGTGAAAAAGAAGTTGCTTGCAGGGAAGAAGCTCTTTTTAAATCAGTGGGATTGGCTAATGGTTTCAGGGTTAATACTAAATCGTCCTCTTCAAATGTTACCCAACCTTTTTGTTTTCCATTGTTAGATATAGAAGATGTATTCTGCAAACTGAAATCATCTTCAAATGTGTCAACATAAAATGCAGCTTTGCCTTTCTGACGAATAAGAGGCTTTAGAGATGGAAAAGGATTAGAAGTGGGTCCTTCTGCTGAACAATGTGAAGTTGCTCCAAATTCTTGAGATGCAGTTCTAAATGGATTTCCAGTTGTAATATTTTTTTCATTAAAAAGATTTGTGCTGGTAGCAAATGGATTCAGAGAATTGGACATGTATACCTCAGATTTACTGTGTGCTAGTGTATGTGGAGTACCTATGTTCCTGAAATTAAAATTGTCTGTTGCAGAAGGCAGGTTTGTCAGCTTCTTTTGACTTAAAGATACAATTGGTGACATTTGAACTGACTGAATTTTAGATTCAGAAAATAACTGAAAGGACAGATCGTCAAAAGGATCATTGTTTAGTTGTGTTTC